AGCCCATATGATTGTGTAAAATCTTAACTATATATTTAGAAATTAATTGTAGATTTTAAATCAAATTTGGTGCTTATTGTTATATATGCATTTGTCGTAACATATCAGCAAATTTGCATATGGGCTAATTCGGGACATATATAGTCTAGTTCAAATTTTTTTAATACTGGTTTAGATTATTTAACACTATATTACTATATTGTTTTACTATATAACTATATATATATATTATATACTACAGCAGATGGTGTTATACTGTATTTGGTATGTATGTTGTAAGTCCAGAGCAGGGTTGAAAATACCATAGTAATTCACCGGCCATCCAAAAAGTATTATTATTAATCTATAGTATATTTATAATATATTTTTATCCTATAGTGATGTGTTAAAAAAGATACTTCAAACAATAAGCATCGAAATAGTAAATGCTAGCAAATCACTATAGTATTTTCAACCCTGGTCTAGAGCGAATAAATTATTGAATATAGCCATGCATCAAAATGTAAATTTAGTCTGTGTGCGGACAAATATTCTTTTCAAAGTTAGTTCTTGATTTTTATTACTATGCTGCATCAACATAGTAGCTTTTGATGCATCAAAAACGTAACTTTTGATTGGTCCATTATATATTCTTTGCTATGCTCTAGACAATAAGAAAATAATGAGTATCCTCCAGACAATAAGAAAATAATGAGTAGACCAGGGCAGTGCAGATCGATGGTGCAGCCACAGCAAAAGAATAACCAATCAATGACAAGCTGTGATTAGATCTTTTTTATCTCAAAGTCACAGGCAAGTTTAGAAATTCATTAAGAGGTTTAGCTTTAGATTATTGTTATACAAATTTGATTGGTAAATTATTAGCTGCAGTTGCACTATTGATTCACACTTCGGGCCCTGGTTAACTCAAAAATAATATCAGGCATTATTCATTATATCAGATAAATAACTTTATATTATTATATGGGTTATAAAATAACTAAATTTGCACGGCATGGCCTTTGGCCATGTAATCCCGTGCAAATTTATTTATTTTTTACAACCAATACAATAACTATAATGTATAACTTATTTTGTATCCTCACAAAATAATTTTTGTCAGTTATTTTTAACTATTTCAAAAATAGCAAATAATATTATCTAAAATAATACTATCTTATAGTAATTAAAATGTAATATTTGCTACTTTTTAAATATATGTAGTCTTTGCTTTGAAAATTAATTATAGAACATATGATTTACTATCTTCTACATATAAATCAATTTTCAAAGCAGACCCTATATGAATATTACCCTTGTCCTTAAACTAATTTATAAAATAAGATGATAAATGAAGAATTTAGAAAACTAACACTTATTATAAATATAGCCTCCTACCAGAGTAGCTTATTTGTAGAGACACCGGACAGATGCAATCACATAATAGACACATAAAATGCGACTAATTTTTACTAAATTTAGGTAATTTATGTTGCATTATGCGGTGAATTTTAAGCGAATAATAAAAGTATATGTATATAATTGTTAAATTTCTTTAAATCTGTAATTATCACATTATACAATGATAGAACAAAATTAAAACAATACGAAATATGTATATGGTTCTTCGCATAAATATCGCACAATTTGAAATTATCACCTCGCACAAAAATGCTTTTCAAATCACATAATCTGGAGTCTCTACTCATTTGATAATTACAAATTCTAATGTAATCGAAAACTGTAATTGATAAAATTTGATTATATTAGAATTTGTAATTGTCTGTCAAATGACTAAAAGAACTTTACAATTACAAGTTCTAAAGTAATCGAATTTGTAATTGTCAAACGATTGTGTCAAATGACAGACTCTGGAGTTATATATACCTAATATCTGGAAGTTTTCTAAGCATTTTTTGCTTTATTGTAGTTTTTGAAATAGTAAAAATAAGAAAAAAAATTTCACTAATATACCTGCATACTGTGCATACTCATATATCAGATTACCTTAATATGTTCGATATTTGATTACGTATATATGTACTTATTATTTGAAACAATAAGTAAATCAAAAACTGATTTTTCAATCGATGTACTAAGGTAATTCTATATACAATTAGTTGCAATATATGAATATACTTGAAAAAAAATTTTTTTTACTCATTTTCATCAATTTTGAAAACTGATTAGAAATTATGCCTATCAAAAAAATCTCTACTCAGGTATTATTAAATCGCTCAGTTATCCGGGTAATTTATTATAGCCATATAATAAAAATGTCTACTCAGGTACAAACCCTAACTGTGATAAATACTACTATTCAATTAGAGAACTAACACTTATTATCTAAATATAGCCTCCTCCCAGAGTAGATCATTTGACGAATACAAATTTTAATGTAATCGAAACCGTAATTGATAAATTTTGATTATATTAGAATTTGTAATTGTCAAATGACTAACTATGAGAGATTCTATATTTATGTAATAAGTATTAGTACCCTATATCAAAATTCTTATGATTACTTTAGAATTTTTCTAGAATTAAATAATATTATGTTTTAATGTATTCAAAAATATATTGATTAGAATATAAAAATATTTGTAAATTGTATTGCTAACAAATTTATATAAAGAAGCTAGAAGCTAAATTATTTTGATTTTGCAATATTAATCTTTTTCAAATAACAAAACTTATATAAAAAAAATAAAATTATTTCACTTTTTTTCGATTTTTACAATCCTTATTTTTATCTTCACAATTTTATATCAAATATCATTACTTTCAAAATCTTTGTCACAACCTTCAGCACGACCTTCATCATGATCACAAAATTCATTATCACAACCAAAATATTCATCATCTTTACGAACACAAAAATCATCTTCATCACAAATACAAAAATCATCATCACAACCACAAAATTCATCTTTATCACGATTACAAAATTCATCTTTATTACGATCACAAACTTTATCTTCATCACAACCTTCACAAATTTCCTCTTTATCACAATCTTTATCAAAAAATACAAGTGATGAATATGATATACATATATTAAATGAAATAATTAATAATCTTGAAAATGGTAAAAATCTAATTAAAAATTATAGATTTTAATATAGAATT